CACTTATCAGTGATTGGATTGGCACAGTCACATCGCTCAGAAACAAGCATACATACTTGGGAAGAATTTTTGGCCAAGAATTTTGGAATCTTTCACATCCATTCTAGTTTTTTCTGCCTTTATTTTGTTCAGATACTCATTTAGACATTTGTTGTTCTATTTCTTTGATGGTAGGGAAACAAAAAGGCAAGTAAGATGGGGATTTTATCTGTTAAGGAATACATGAAATTTCTATCTTGTCTCTCATTATTTAATCAGCACAGAGCCTGAATGCTCTAGTAAAGACTTGTGAGAAAATGAAAACTGAGGCAATTCCTTTTTAATTTCCCATTCCCCCAAACTCAGAATCTTGTTTTATATTTATCCTGGTCTTAAGTTGTTTGTATCAAATAACTTAAGTCAAGGTGTTAACTCATGATTAAATGGCTGATATTTTAGTAGTGAAACAATTCTAAAGCCTGATGTGACCTGTCAACCTTGCCTCTCTGCAGAATGAAGAGAGAAAAGTAACATTTATTGAATTCATGCTGGGGTTATTCAGTGTGCTAGGCCAGTAAAGATGATTTGATATGCCATCTTTGAACCATTGCCTGCCTTTGTACTAAACTTTAATTTTGACTATTCAAAGGAATAGTCAAGGGAATGCTTGTGAACTGGTCTATACAAAATATTATGGCAGGTACAGGATGAAAACTGTTTTTCTTTTATGTACTAATTTTTAAATGAATAACACTTTCACTGTTATTGTAGTTGAAGTTATATGGATATATTTGAAATAAAATGTTGATTAAATGTTACTACCTATTTTTATTTGAAAGGATATGCCAAGTGTTTTGGGGAATGGCTCCCCCGTGTGGCATGCTCATTTATGTTCAATGTCTGGATTGCCTCAGTAAGAATATAGTGAGCTGGTCTTGTTTTTTAAAGTAAGAGAGTCCTGTCCTGGCTGGTATGGATCAGTGGATTGAGTGCTGGCCTAACTAAAGGGTTGCCGGTTCAATTCCCAGTCAGGGCACATGCCCGGGTTGCAGGCCAGGTCCCCAGTTGGGGGTTCGTTTGAGGTAACCACACATTGATGTTTCTTTTCCTCCTTCCCTTCCCCTCTTGTCTATAAATCAATACATAAAATCTTTAAAAAAAAATAAAGTAAGAGAGTCCTCTCTCATTTTCTTCCTCTACTTTCCCTCACAAAACCAACCAGAAGAATTGAACCAGCAGCCTCTACTGCCCTCACGTCTTTCAATTTTTGGCTCTAATAATTATGCTATTTTTGTATTTTCTTTAGATTGATGCTAATACTAGCTAGAAACAACTATATCTTCTAGGGGAAGAAAGGGAGTTATGAATATTGAATGACTTATAGATCACTATTAAAGTATTTGTAAGTTTTAATATCTTGGATATGGCTAGGTATACTAAAATAACTGTAAGAAAAACAGGTTTTGAAGTCAAAATAGTTTGTGTAATGCTGGTGAACTTCCTAAACAGGAAGAGTTTTCGACACTTACTAGACTATAGAATTCTTATCTTCAGGGATTGAGACATCAGGGAACACATTTCAGGAAACAGCAAATGGTTTTAACTGAGTCATTCTTCATGGTTTTTTAAATTACTTATTACCATATTTGCTTCTTCCCTTGTTGCAGCAATTTTTGAAAGAAAAATAAGAGAAAGCAGTATTAAGCTTTAGAGATTTGTATTTGGCAATGTATTTCCTGTTAGTAAGTCTACTTTTTTCTTTTTGTAGCAAGCACCCTCAGAATCATAAGGTGCTTTTTTTTTAAGATTCCTTTATATTAGCAATGATGAATAGGATGTTAGTTTAAATGTAATTTAAATAAATAACTTCCCATTAACTAAAACTTGTAAAACTTTGTTAATGACACTTACTGGCAGTGGGTATAAGAAGTATCCTATTTCCTGCTTTTTTCTTTCCTTTTATAACATTTGTAGGAAAAAAATATGAGGGGAAAAGTTAAAATGCAGTTATGATGGTAGTAGGTTTTTGTGGGGGTACAGGGACAGGAGGGAGATTTAGATGAAAAATCTTACATCCATTCTTAAGCCACTAATTAAATATAAATTTACTTAAATTAAGCTTTGCAAATATATACATATTATTCTTATCTTTTATTATGTCATCTTTTGAGAGTGCTATACCTAAATTGGGAAGAATACTGTATAGCTTACATTTCTCTTATAGGAAGCATATAGGATATGTTTTAAGACAGTGACATGTTTCTATATTTTCCGGTTACTTTTTTAACTGCATCAGAAAACTGATGGTTAGGTTAATGTTTATGGAAGTGAGTAAAAACAAGCCTAGTAATTAATCTAATGTCCAGTGTCATCAGGTTGTGAGGTTTTCCAGATACGTAATTTTTCTAGGTAAGGGAAGCATATATTTTAAGTACCAAGATTTTAATGAAGATAGCTTTTTTACTGAGCATATGCAGATTAATTTATTTTCGGTCTAGGTTTGCCATTATGATGTTATAATACTGTTGTCCTAGGGGAGCTATAGTTATGGTTGCCTCTTCCCCCTTTCCCCCTTCTATATTTGTTGTTTTAACAGCTTAAGTGCTATATATGTATTTCATTAAGAGGTACATACTTTTTTAATTTGAATACATTGTTATATGCAATTTGCCGTGTTTAAAATATTAAGTAATTGGTTCCAATTGATTTAGTATATGTTTGAATTACTGGGTTATTAAACTAGAAAGTGTTAAATGGTATATAATTAAAAGTTATATTACAGTGTATTTTAAAATTCAAATTGGTTTCACAACTAATATTTTGATGATTTTCATTTAATTTTTAAAATATAGTTTTAAATTTAAATATATTTGTATTCATCCTATTGGGTTATCAAGTACTAACCAATCAGACTACTTACCATATGAGATCAGAGAGATTGAGCACGTTCAGGGTAGTATGGCCATAGATTTCCTATTAGATTATCAGAATAGTATCTTGAATATTCAGAGAATAAATGTTTTAGAAGAAAATTGCTATTTCGTTTTAAACATGATAACTAAGAATACATAGTGGTGGTTTGTTTGTTTGTTTGTTTGTTTGTTTTTTACAATGTGTGATTGCCTCTTGTGGGCCCCAGGCATGTGCCCTGACTGGGAATCAAACTGGCGACCCTTTGGTTCACAGGCTGGTGCTCAATCCACTGAGCCACACCAGCCACGTCCTATACATGGTTTTTAAAAAGGGCTATACTTTATAGTGGAATTTACCTTGGTTTTAATAGTGGGCAAATAGAATGTACTTTACATTTTAGCAAATTTTGGTGAAAGAGGAGAGGGATCTGTACTTTTATTATAGCAAATTATGTGTGTAAATGAATTTTACATATAATACATATGTATTTTGCTATGAGGTAATAAGAACTATAAAGATTCAAACACAGTATTTAAGATTATAATCCAAGTAGAGTGTGTTACTTTACTTTTTGAAATTCAGTTTCTCACAAATATCCTTTTGAAATGTTTATGAATTTATAATAGGGCCATACTTAAAAAAATCATCAAAAGATATAGCCTCTTTCTAGGCAACCCCAAGATATAGGAGGGGGGAGGGAAATCAAGTTTGTCCTACTTTTTGTTAAAGTTTTTAATATTTAGTGTATACTTAATTTAGACATGTGTTCTATTTTAATTTTAAAGAACATTTGTAAACTTGGAAATTTATGTAAAGGTGTAATCTGAATGAAGTGACATGGCTAGGTCAATAATCTTCAATCAACAAAGTGATCATTCTAACCTAAAGTAACAACATGTGGTTAAGTGACAATTAGTACTTAAAGGTACCCCATAAAACATATTATTTGTCTTTACTATTACTGCCCAAGAAGCTTTACCCATTTTGGGTTACTGAATGATATATGTTTTTACTTAACGCAGAAATTTTACTCCAAGAAGCTGAATGTTAAACTTGTTAAGAATTAGTTCTGATTTCCTGATCACTAATTGTATTTATCCCTTCTCTGTAGCTTAATAATGTTATAGTAGGGTTTTATTTTTTAAAACTAGGATAGACCCAGGAAATTAAGACACCTTAATCTCCCTAAATGTACTGTCCATAAAGGCTAATCCAGAAAAACAAATAATTAGGGTTTAGGTTAATGTTTGTTTATGGAAGGAAGTTGTTTTACTTAAAAAAGATTTGTTTACTAGTGTTAGTATATGAAAAGGCATATGTCTCTTTGCAGGATTTAAGTGTACTTGTGAAAACTCAAAAGTACCAATGATTTTTGAGGTATAAACTGTTTTACTTTAGTTGATATTTGAATAATACCCATTTGCAAGCACTGTGCAGGTGACTATATAATTATGACATTTTCCTAGGCAATCCAAGGTAAATTGTTCCAATTCATAAAACTAAAACTCAAGGAATTTAAGTGATTTCTGAAGGTCACACTGCTGGTAGATAGCAAAGGCAGGTTTGGGACCTAGGCCTCCTGGTTACTTAATCTCTAGTAGTTTCGTCAGTTACAAATGTAAACTGGATCCTAATTAATATAGTAAGATTTAGAAGGGAAGATCATTCCCGGTGGCCTTTTAGTTATATCAATCACTGGTGGTGGTTAAATGTAACATTTTTATAGTATGTACTTTTGAAAAGTCTGATAAAAAGATATGAACCATTAGAAAAATGTAGATATATGAACATTTGAATATAATTTCAGTAGCACCACTGATCAGATAATGAACTCATGTATTTTAAGAAGTTATGGTCAGTTGTCTAGAATTATGCTGTTTATCTGGACTGTTTTTATAAGCTATGCATAGGTATAGCTAGGGAAGGTAAAATAGCTTGATTTAGTGCAGATTTGTTTTAAATGACTTTATTTTACTGTTTGTAAAAGCTTTTTGTTTTGTTTGGCTTGCCTCACATTATGTTCTAATACTTTTGGACAGTATAATTTAGTGTTACACAGTGAGAGTAAGCATTATCTTACTTGTGACTTTTAATTCCATATCCTTCAGGTAAAAAGAACGTATTCTCACGGTACTTATAGAGCTGGCCCAATGCGACAAATCAGTTTGGTGGGAGCAGTTGATGAAGAAGTGGGAGATTACTTCCCTGAGTTCCTTGACATGTTGGAAGATTCACCATTTTTAAAGGTAAGAGAAAGCAATATTAAGCAATCTGAATTGTGGGTGTTACTTTCATGCTACAGGTGATACCGATGGTTTCAGAATTGTAGAAATTTTTATTTTATTTGAGGAAAGGAAAGGAAGAAACTAAATTTTAGTGTAGTGTATGTTTATGACTTCTCAGGTATTAATCACAATGCAAAAGCTAAGTGGTGGACAAGAAAATAACACTTCCCTGTTGTTGCCACATTAGGAAATTAGGTTTCATCTGTTATTAGCTATATACTGAGTACCAGAGGATTTAAGAAGTAAAGAAAGGAGGTCTACTAAATTAAAGTGCTTAGGAAAAGGGAATGGCCATGTGGCATTGCGGAAAACTGGCCTGGAAGATTGTACATCTGTATTTCATTCTTGGCTATACTTGGCTGGATTGGGCAAGCCATTTAAACTTTTTGGACTTCATTTTCTTCATAAATAAGACATTTAAAATATAATTAGTAATTCAAATGTCAGAATGTGACAAGATCACTTTATCATTACTGTTTGCCACTTAATCTGGTGAATATATCTTCTTTTTTCACTTCTCTTTACTCAGTTTTGTAATCTGTGTGTGTGTATGTGTGAGAGAGTATATTTTTCTTTTCTTTTTCACCCCATTCCATTTTGTTTTTATTTCCTTTTTTATTCTGTTAAACTTTTTGTTCCTTTTCTATTTCTCCCAACTAGTGACATCATTGAATTTTATTGTATTTGTTTTGAATGGTACTTTAAAAATACATTATTTAAATATTTATGTTTCAGATTTTAAGCGAATGAATGCATTTATTCTGGAGAATTTAATTTGACAATTCTCCCATTTTTGAAAAGGGATATGGGATAAAATTTAAAAAAATACTATTCTTACCATTCTGTGGATCCTTTGTCATTTTTCTCTCTCTTCAAAGATTTTAATCTCTGCTTTTTAGACTAGCAAACTCTTCAAGCAGCTACTAAATTTTTAAAGACAAATAAATTTTGACTTTGGTTAGGTTTTCCTTTTTGTTTTACTAGGTTTTGATTATAACTAATTAAAGAAGTATCTATTTATTGGGTAACCATTTTTTAACTAATTAACTATTCATTTTTATAGATTCTCCTGGAGAACACTCGCTTACTTTGACAACTTACTAACATTACATATTTGGTAGGAGGAAGAATAACAAATGATAAATATAGTGAATTATATCTGTGACAGGGTTGGGGGAAGGAATCATCCAAAAATAATTATTCTCTTTATGTGTTTGAAAAAGAATTTTTTGATAGAAAATGTGTGAATATATAAGAATATATTCAATATAGGTATGTATTTCAAAGGTATAAGTGTAAAAGTATAATGAAAGTTTGTCAAGGGGCAGCATTCTTTAATGTATATTTAAAGGTACGTTTTGACAGTAATTGATTTCTATGTAATTATTTGCCTTTAGTGTACACTGCCATGGGGGACACTATCTAGTCTAAAATTAGAGAGTCGAAAAGACAGTGATGATGGTCCCATCATGTGGGTACGCCCAGGAGAACAAATGATCCCTGTGGCTGATATGCCAAAGTCACCTTTCAAAAGGAAAAGGTATGTTGGACACAAATTTGTATTGCTGGGAGTGGGTGTTTGTATGTTGGGTGTGTGTGTGTTATTTGAAAATTGGAGGAAGAATGAGGTGAAAGTTTAGGGCATAATTGGAATATAAATTAAAAGATGGCTACATATGCTGATAAAATTTTTAAAATTTATCAAATACTTTTTTTTCATGTCCACCCAAAACCCATTCACCATATCTATCTTTGGTGATCGCATGGTCAGATGTTAATAAGACATGAGAAATTAGGCAAATGACAAATTGTAAGAATGGAAAAAATATCATTCACAGTACAGACATTTTAAACTATGAAATAAATTAATAAGAAATATTTAGGACCCTTATTAAGAAAATTAAAACAGAAGATATAACATAAGATCTAAACAAGTAAAAAACCCTAGTATATTTTAGATTGGATAAAAATGGTAGTCCTTTGAAACTCAGCATATACTACTTCTAGTACTGGATAAATGATTTTAAAGTTTATAAGGAAGAATAAGTAAAGCCAGCAAATAGCCAAGAAAATTGTGAAAGAGAAGATAAGTGAGAGGTCCTAGTGTTAAAAAGATCATTTATGAAAGGATAGAGTACACAGATAGATCAAAGTATACTGGGAAAGGGAAGATTTATTTAATGAATAATATGACAAAATTGGCAGTCCATCTGAAAGAAAACAGTCATACCTCATAAGGAAAAAGTTTTAAATATAAGATAAAAAATAAAAATAATAGAATAAAATTTATTTTACTTTTAAAGATTTTATTTATTTTTAGAGAGAGGGGAGGGAGGAAAAAAGAAAGGGAGAGAAACATCAGTGTGTGAGTGAAATGTGGACTGGGTGCCTCTGGGACTTGGCCCTACAACCCAGGCATGTACCCTGACTGGGAATAAAACCAGTGACCTTTTTGGTTTGTAGACTGACGCTCATCCACCGAGCCACACAAGCCTGGGCTAGAATAAAATTTTTAAGCCTAGGAGAGACATTTCCTCAACAAGATAAAAAAATATAATGGCAGTAGTATTAGTGAGAGAAAACACATCAACAACAAAGTTCAAAACTATGATAGATTGACTAAAACATTTGTACCATGTGGCAAACTAAAGTTAATATACAAAGAGCATTCCTAAATTGACAAGAAAAATATAAACAACCCAATAGAAAAACAGGTCTTAGGCAGTCAAGTGTATATTAAAATATTTATGAGATACTATTTTTATTCATTACATTAACAAAAATTATTAATAGGGCAGTAATATTACAGGCTGGTCGGTAGGTAAGGAAAACAAAGTTCTTTACACATGTTGATGAGCTGCTATAATTATTTTGTGAAAGGAGTTTAGCAGTAGCTTATAAAGTTTAACATACTATATAACTTCTTTAATCCAGCACACCCACTTTTGAAAACTGTCCCAAGACATAAAAGCTCTAAAGGAAAATGTAATAAGAATATTGATTGCAGCATTATTTGTAGGGAGAAAAAGATTTAAAGTGGTCTGAATGCCCATTAACAGGAATTGCTGACTACATTTTGACACATTCCTATTAAAGAATATGGTGAAATAGTTTAAATGAATTATTTCTGTTCGTTGATCTGGAAGGATATCTCTGACAGTTGAAAAGAGTAAAATGTAGAGTAATATGCCCACTATGATTCTATTTTTAGAAGAGATGAAAAACATATGTATAAATATATATTGGGTTGGCCAAAAAGTCCATATGGTTTTGTTCTATTACAATAAGAGACACATTTTTCTTTTTTTTGTTTTTCTAAAGATTTTATTTATTTACTTTTAGAGAGAGGGGAAGGGAGGGAGGAAGACAGGAAGAGAAATGTCAATGTGTGTGTTGACCCTCATGTGTCCCCTACTGTGGTACCTGTGAGGGGGCCTGGCCTGCAACCCAGGCATGTTCCCTGACTGGAAATCAAACCAGTGATTTGGTTGGCAGGCCAGCACTCAATCCACCGAGCCACACAAGCCAAGGCCAAGACCTATTTCTCATTTTCACCAGTAACTTTATTGATTTGGATATTTTGAGTATGTTGGCTATCTTCTGCATGGTGTAATGTTGATTGTTCTCAGTTAATGGCTTGATTTGATCACTATCAACTTCAACTGGTCTACCTGACCATGGAGCATCAACTAGTGAAAAATCTCCAGCATGAAACTTCACAAACCAGTTTTAACACATTCAATCAGTGACAGCATCTTCTCTATATACTGCACAAACCTTTTTTTGCATTTCAGTTGGGTTTTTACCTTTCTTGAAATAATAAAGCATAATATGCTAAAAATGTTGCTTATGTTCTTCCATCTTCAATATTAAAATAGCTATACAAAAATTCACCAATTTTGGTAAGGTTTTTTTTTAATGCACACTGTTATGACAGCTGTCACAATACAATCTTAAAATAATTTCAAATGAAGTTAAAAACAACTAAGTGCTATTGGAGCCATCGTATGGAAAAAGACCGAATGAATTTGTTGGCCAACCCAATATTTATATGAGCATAGAAAAAAGTATGGAAAAATGTATACTAGGTTAACATTTGGTAGGAATGGAGTGGGTGATGCTGGGGGAAATGATACTTTTTTCTTAGATAACAAAAAATGGTTTCACTGGTTACAGTGATTATTAATTTAAAAAGGAAAAATGGTCATTGGGCAACTGTAGGGTGCATGAGGCAGGGACTATCTTGTTTTGTTACTGATATGTCTCTAGCACCTAAAAGGAATGCTTACTGCTTAATAAATTTTTATTGGTTGAATGAAACTTTTATAATATATAAGTTGATAGTAAATGGTAAAATTGGTGTTTCTCAGTGGTTCTTAATTTGGATGTATGAATTGTTTTGAGAATCTGAAAGCCTCTGCCCACGATGATACAGATATGTACACCCTTTTCCATGTAATCTAAGGGAGTTCAGCAGCTCCTTAAGGAATTTGCCTGCACAGCAGTGATTATAAATCCATCATATATCCAATAATTTCATATCCCATTACAGTCTGACCAAACTAACGACACTGCCTTAGCCACTATGCTAAAGTCTGAATTCATTAGAATATGGTGTTAATAGGACAAAACTTGTGGGCCTGAAAGCTTATTTGTTAGCTTTCCATGGGAAGCAACATCACCATCTAGCTTTCTGACACCTGTGGACCATAAATCACAAAAATCGAGAAAGTATGTTGTAGCATCATCTGTGTATGTGAGTGTGTAATAAGACTGTAATGCAGGATTGCACAAAGAGCAGTAATAGTAGAGAGTAAAGGTGAGAAATCAAAGAACTAATAAGGAAGAGACCCTAAGAGAGAGATTGGAATGAGAGGAGAAAATTATGGGGCAATCTGGATTTTCCTTTGGAAAAGAAAAACTGTATAGGAAGATAAATAAGATGATTCCCAATCTGAGAAATTCTTCTCACCTTTTCCCCTTCTACAGCAAAATTTGAGAGAGTTTCTGCAGTGAGTGAGACTAAGTAGTCCGCAGCTTCTGTGTGTGTGTTTTCTAGGTGGTGAGCAGTGGAGGGGAGGGCCAATGGGTTGATGACTGTCCTCTGAAGAGGGAGCTAAGGTTTTCCTTTTTGCCTCCAATAAAATCATGTGTGTTTTGTGGAAGCACTTATGCTTGATGTTTTCTTGCTATTTTGTTTTGTTTTTCTTTTGTTAGAATATAAACTTCCATAAGAGTAGAGAACTTATCTTAATTCACTACTGTCTTGTTCACTAGCTCCAGGGCCTGGATCATAACTGACATAGTAGGTGCTCTATAAATATTAAATCAGTGAACTTTTAAAACTTACCTGTTTGTTCAAGATCTGTGCCTTGTATTAGCCATGTGACCTGATGGGGGCATGCTTCCATAGGTTAGACTCAAACTTCAGGTAAAGATTCTGGCTACAGGGAGACCTGGGTGAACTACACCACATGTAATTTATTTTTCTTATCCAAGTATGTATTGCCTTTAAACTTCCACTTATGAAGGGTGTATGAAAAAGAGTAGATTATATATGTGCTCTTGTTTGTTCTTGTTCATTTTAAAAAGAACACTTGATTTAGGAACAGATGATTTATAATTTCACTTCTCTGAATTATGTGATTACTAAATGCTTGATGGCAGTTAAACCTCAATACAAATGTTTGAGGGTAATTAAGCCTTAATACATAAGCCTATCCAACCCCTGACTCTCCCTTTACCTCCCTTTCTCTCTATAGAAAATATATATAAAATGTAAGTTTAATTTTTTTTAAAACAGAACTACCAATGAAATAAAAAACCTGCAATACCTACCTCGAACTAGTGAACCCCGTGAGATGCTCTTTGAAGACAGGACAAGAGCTCATGCAGATCATATAGGACAAGGTTTTGAACGACAGACTACAGCCGCTGTTGGAGTGTTGAAGGCTGTGCACTGTGGAGAGTGGTATATATTAATTACTGCTATTTTAATGAAATGTTTTCCTGGCTTTAAATTTTGGGGGAGTTTCTCAGTAATACTGTTTACTGGCGGGGGATTATTTTCCCATGTATTTGGATATTGTAACTGTGTGACTGCACTAAAGAAGATTTTCATTGCTAGAATCTAGTTTTTCTTTTGGATTTGGCTGAAATAATTTCATTTTCTAAGTGACTAGACATGAAAAACAATTGTCTTATCTAAGGTAAAAGAAAAACTAAGATTTACTTGGTACTTAGTATATACCTGTTTACAAATATTCATTTGATTTTCAACTACTTGTAGGCCCATATTTATCTCACAAGGAAACTGAGGCTCAGTACTGTGAAATAACACATTTTGATAGTTATATGTTAATAAGTGACAGAGCTGAGACTGAGTTCAGATTTGACTCCAGACTCATGTTTCTCTTTATACTGTTCTATCTTGTTGTTCTGTGCTAAGATTTAGTATCCATAGTATTAAATATTTGTTCACCTTATATATTATTTTTTTCTGGCTTCATCTGCAAGTTTCACTTTGAATCATTTCATACATTAAAAAATGGATAATTCTCTTAAATATACTTAAGGTATCCTCCCATAATTATGAACTTTTCCATTTATTGATAAATAAATGGATACTTTAAGATAAGTTTTCTCAGTTAGGTTTCTGTTTTCAAACCGAGTGTTTAGATATGAAACTTAAATTGGCATGTGCTATTTTACTTATTAAAGCAGTTGTATTAGACATTAAATATGCAAGAACATTTTCTAATTATAAAAGAAAACTTTTAATTCTGAAAATATAAAATGTCAATTGTTGCATAGTTTTCTAAGATATAATGAAAAATATAATCTACTCTGGCTGGTGTAGCTCTGTGAGTTGAGCATGGGCAGTGAACCAAAGGGTTGCTAGTTCAATTCCTAGTCAGGGCACATGCCTGTGTTGCAGGCCAGGTCCCTAGAAGGGGGTTCGCAAGAAGCAACCACACATTGATATTTCTCTCCCTCTCTTTCTCCTTCCCTTCCCCTCTCTCTGAAAATAAATAAATCTTTAAAAAATATGTAATCTGTATTTTATACATGAGGAACTTTTATTTTCAAGGGCTACTAATACAGAATTGACTTTTTGTTAATTTATAATATTATAAAAATGTATAATATTTTATAAATTAATAGTATACCAGGAAGCCAGTGTAAACTGACCTCCTTTCTTTTTTATGTATATTTTATCATTTATGCTATTACAGTTGTCCCATTTTTTTCTCCCCTTTATTCCCCTCTGCCCTGTATCCCCCTTTCCACCACTATTGTCCCACCTTAGTTCATGGCCATGGGTCATACATATAAATTATTTTGGCTTCTACATTTCCAATACTATTCTTAAACTCCCCCTGTCTATTTTGTATCTACCATTTATGCTTCTTATTCCCTGTACCTTTTCCCCCATTCTCCAACTTCCCCCTTCATGCTGATAACCCTCCATGTGATCTTTATTTCTATGAATCTGTTCCTGTTCTAGTTGTTTGTCTAGTTTGTTTTTGTTTTTTAGATTTGGTTGTTGATAGTTGTGAGTTCTCATTTTACTGTTCGTATTTTGATCATCTTCTTTTTCTTATGTAAGTCCTTTTAACATTTCATATAATAAGGACTTGGTGATGGCGAGCTCCTTTAACTTGACCTTATCTGAGAAGTACTTTATCTGCCCTTCCATTCTAAATGATAGCTTTGCTGAATAGAGTCATCTTGGATGTAGGTCCTCGCCTTTCATGACTTTGAATACTTCTTTCCAGCCCCTTCTTGTCTGCAAGGTTTCTTGTGAGAGATCAGTTGATAGCCTTATGGGAACTCCTTTGCAGGCAGCTGTCTCATTTTCTCTTGCAGCTTTTAAGATCCTCTCCTTATCTTTCATCTTGGGTAATGTAATTATGATGTGCCTTGTTGTGTGCTTCCTTGGGCCCAACTTCTCTGGGATTCTGTGAGCTTCCTGGACTTCCTGGAAGTCTATTTCCTTTGCCAGATTGGGGAAGTTCTTCATTAGTTTTTTCACGTAAGTTTTCAATTTCTTGCTCTTCCTCTTCTTCTGGCATCGCTATGATTGGATGTTGGAACATTTAAAGGTATCCTGGAGGTTCCTAAGTGTCTCCTCATTTTTTGAATTATTCTTTCTTCATTCTGTTCTGATTGAGTGTTTATTTCTTCCTTTTTGCTCCAAACCATTCATTTGAGTCCCAGTTTCCTTCCCTTCATGGTTCCCTGTACATTTTCCTTTATTTCACTTTTCATGGCCTTCACTTTTTCCTCTGTTTTGCAGCCTTACTCAACCATTTCTTTGAGCATCCTGATTACCAGTGTTTTGAACTCTGCATCTGATAGGTTAGCCCTTCTTCATTGCTTAGTTCTATTTTTGGAGTTTTGATCTGTTCTTTCACTTGGGCCACATTTCCTTATCTCCATGAGTCTGTTACATTGTAAGGGGTAGAGCCTTTGTTATTTACCAGTTCAGGGCAATCCACATTGCTGCAATCCACATTGTGGTACTGTATGTGGGGAAGGGGTTCAGAAAGGGAACAATACTGCTTGTTTGGTTCTCCACAGGCTTTCAGTCACTTCACTTGCTACCCACAAGCAAATTCTGGTGTTGATTTCCAGTTGGGTGGGTTTGTATATGTTCTTCATACTGTTTGGTCTCTCCAGTGAATTGTCCTGTGAGGCTGGGAGTTTCTCCCGCCACGTCAACACCCACAGATTTTTACAGCCAGGTGTTTTTCAAGCTTTCTTTTCCCCATGTTGGAACCCTGAGTTGTGTGGTCTACCTTGCTCCCCAGTTATTCTTCCTGGTTTATCTGTATGCGAATGTAGGTCCATCCTGGTCCTCCAGCCACCTCCTTGCTGTATCCTGTCCACCCTCGTTGTCCATCTCTGCCCCTCCTACCGATTGGATGAATGTTTCTTTAACTCCTTGGTTGTTGGTCTTCCATATAGTTTGAGTTTCTGGCAGTTCTCTGCTTTTTTTTTTTTTTTTTTTTTTTAAATTTTAAATTTGTTGTCCTTTTGGTTGTAAGAGGAGGCAAAGTGTATCTGCTTACGCCTCCATCTTGGCTGGAAGTCAGCTGACCTTTCTTAACATAAATGAAACTTTATCACTTTCAGGTATACAGAGTAGCTAGTACTGAAGTAATCCTAAAAGATCCTCAGGAAAATAATATTAATAGTTTATAATTCAGTAATAATTTATAATTGAATTTTGTTTAACTTAAATGGTAATTTTAAATATCTGTTGTTATGCTCATATAGTTTCTGTGTTCTGGTTTATAGTTTCTGTGTTCTGATTTAAACTATAATCTGGTTTAAAACACTAAATTTAACTCTGGAAATCATTATAAACTCTTATTTCAAATTAATTAGATTTCTCTTGAATGTTTGATATAAAGTATTTAAGAGGTCATCAAGAATTACTTAGGGTGAAATCTAATTTAGAGTGTTCAGCTAAGTTAGCTACATATTTACACTTTTTTCCAGAGAGAAATATCCCTGCTTCATGGCTTTAGCACTTTGTTAAAATCTTTTAAGCTTCTTTAAATTATTGTTGGTATATATTCACTCCTCCACTTTATATGTGTTTTGAGTTTAGAGATTGTGTCCTGTCCTTCATGGGACCATCACAGTTCCCAATAAATATCTATTAATTTAAAAAAACCCCACTTTGGTGGCTAGTAACTTCATAGGATAGGGACTGTTGCTAAACTAATATACTAAGAAGTTAGGTGGCCAAATTTAAGAATATACTTGAGACAGATTTTGGGATGAGATACTGCTAGTTATGAGTTTTCCCACTATTGTAAAATACAGTTTGCTTCCTAGACCAGTGCTGCTTTCATCTCTTAATACTAAAGACAACGAGAATATAATTTGGTGCTGTAAGAGGGCTTCATGGCTCTGATGCAAACATGGTTTATGATCCCTTTATAATAATTAATTCCTTGGTGTTAAATTAAGCTATACTGAGGAAGTTGGTGCTTCCTTTCTTTCTTAGTGTTTTGAATTCTATTCTTTGTCTCAAGAAGACATTAGGTATTAGAATATTAAATTCTTGACTTTATCTTAGAGCCAGGCTTAACACTAATTTGAAATAAAGACTAGAATTGATTTAGACTTTATAGAAATCTTCAGTTAGGTAAGGCTTATGAAGTATTGATTGAATTATATCGCTTTTTAGGTATTATGAAAAAGATTCATATACAGGGTATGGCAAAAGTAGGTCTACAGTTCATGTAGAAAAATACAATAATTAATAAATAGTAATAGAAGAATAACCTGTTTCACATACTCACAACTGAAAAGTTACTTTTGCCCCACTCTGTAGGTTTATATATTCAAGGTGGCTTCTTTGAAATCATTTTTTGAAAAAGCAACCATTGAAGTATAATTTATATGCAATCACATACACACATACTCATTATAAATATTATACAGTTTGATATGTTTTGACAAATGTATACAGCCATAGTACCACTACTTCAGATAAGGTAATAGAATGTTTTGTGTCCTTCATACCCTTTGGCAGTTAATCTCCCCCATTGTTACCCCAGCTCCAGACATCTTTTCATTTGTTTTTCTTTTTGGTCTTCATAAGTTAGTATCGTCTAGTCTAGGATCTTATGTAAATAGAATCATACATGTTGCCTGACTTCTTTCACTAAGCATAATGTTTTTGAGATTCATCTACGGTGTTACATATATTCGTAGTTCATTCCTTCTTATAGCTGAGTGGTATGTCATTGAATGGCTATATCACAACTGATTTATTCATTCACTTGATGGTAGACATTTGAATTCTTTCCAGTTTTATGAATAAAGCTGTTACAGACATTCACTTACAAGCCTTTTTATACGTATAAGATTTCATTTCACTTCTGTAAATACTCAGAAATGGAATTAGAGTCTTGGATAGAGTAAGGCAAAATGAGTGTGTACAGAGAAAAT